TTTTTGTTTGTTTTGGTTTTTAAATTGTTGTAAAACATACAAAATTTACAGTTTTAACCATTTTTAAGTGTATAGTTCTGTGACATAAGTACAGTCACATTGTCATGCAACCATAACTACTCTCTATTTCCAGAACTTTTCCATCATCCCAGCCATTAAACAATAGCTCCCCATTCCTCCCTACTCCCAACTCTTGGCAACCACTATTCTACTTTCTGTCTCTGTGCATTTGCCCACTCTAGGTACCTTGTGTATGTGGAATCATACAATATTTGTTCTTTTGTGTCTGGCTTATTTCACTTAGCATCATGTTTTCAAGGTTTATCCGTCTCGTGGCATGTGTCAGAATGTCCTTTCTTTTTAAGGCTGACTAATATTCCTCTGTGTGTGTGTCCTCATATATATGAGGGAACTTCAAAATGTTTATGGAAAAAGACAATTGAAAGACAATACAAATCTTTCTGTGAACTCTTTGTTATTGTTTTTGGTGGCTGGCCAGCACAGAGATCTGAACCTGTGACCTTGGTGTTACAAAGCGGTGCTCTAACCAACTGAGCTAACCAGCCAGCCCCTCCGTGAACTTTCTGAAGTACCCCCCTATATACCCACATAGACACACACCCCATATATTGCTTATTCATCTGTTGATGACACTTGGGTTGTTTCCACGTTTTGTCTGTTGTGAAAAATGCTGCTGTAAACATTGCTGTACAGGTATCTGTTTGAGTCCTTGCTTTCATTTCTTTTGGGTATATTCCAAGGAATGGAATTGCTGGATCATGGTAATTCTATATTTAACTTTTTGAGAAGCTGCCTGTTTTCCACAGTGACTTCACCATTTACATTTCTGCCAGTAATGCATGAGGATTCCAACTTCTCCACATTCTCACCAACACTTGTCACTTTCCTTTTGTTTGGTTTTTTTTTTTTCAGTAGTAGACATCTTAGTAAGTGTGAAGTGGTATATGTGATTACTTTTTAAAAAAGATCTCCCATTATTAGTTTTGTCTTCTTGATCTGTTAGTGAGAGAATTGTGTAAAAATCTACTGTGATGGTGGATTTGAAAATTTATTTTTATTTTTATTTTTTGTCTTTTTCGTGACCGGTAAGGGGATCGCAACCCTTGGTATGGTGTCACCCACACCGCGCTCAGCCAGCGAGCACACTGGCCATTCCTATATAGGATCCGAACCCCCAGCGCCGCACTCACCCGAGTGCGCCACGGGCTCGGCCCAGATTTGAAAATTTCTCCGTGTGGTTCTGTCAGTTTTTTCTTTAGGTATTGTGAGTCTATTTTAGGTTATATACAAATTTAAAATTGTGATGAATATTTATCCTGGTGGACTTAAATTTTAGTGAATCAAAGCATTTAGTGTTACATAATGACCTTCTCATCCCTATAGTGCTTTTTGTCTTGGTTTTTTTTTGTCTGAGATTAATATTCCTGTGTTATTTTTTTGTTTGTTTTTTGGTTAGTTATTGCAAGATGTAGAGTTTTCTTTTTACTTACATATCTTTTTAGTTCTTCCTTTTTATTTAGCATTATGAAATAAGCATTTTCACTCTCTAAACAGTTTTCTTAATTTTTAATGTTATGGTTTAATTACTATGCCATAATTTCTGTCGCTATTCCATCATCGTTAAATATTTTGTCTTCATTTTTTTCTTTTGTTTGCTCTTGAACAACATTATGTATATCTTTGTGTATGTTGCTTTTTGTTGTTGGATACTTTCATTTGGATAAATTCTTGAAAGTAAGATCATTGGGGTTGTTTTTGGGGTATACACTATGTTTTTTCTTTTTTTGCCTTTGATACTGCTTTATTGTTTTCTAAAGGAGTTGTACCTATTTACAGTGCCACCAGCACTATTTAAGTGTCTACTAGACACCATATCACCATTTTATGAATTGCTAAGAAAGAAAAAACTCTTCTAGTTAAACTGACGTGATGCTTTCTTATTGAGAATTTTTATTTTTCATACTTATTAGAAAAGATCTTTTAAGTGTAAGTAGACATAGATTTTTATCATATCACTCTTGAACATACATTAAAAAAAAAAAACCAATTAAAGTGGTAAGGGTATTTCTAAAATTTTAGACTCAGGGTCCAATTCTCCTAAATTATTTCTTTTTTTTTTTTCCTTTTTGTCTTTTTTCGTGTCTGGCAACGGATCGCAACCCTCAGTGTCGCGCCCGTACCAGACCGGGACTGGCAACGGGATCGCAACCCTTGGTGTCGCTCCCGCACCTCGCTCAGCCAGCGAGCGGGAACCGGTCTGCATGTGGGATCCGAACCCTCGGCGGGAGCGCCGCCTCACTCCCAAGCGGCGCACTGCAGCAGTGCACCACCGGGCCGGCCCCTAAATTATTTCTTAACTCAAAGTTGTCTGTATATTTCTACACTGTATGTCATGAGTGTTGTTGAGAAAGCATTTCTTAAGAGTACCTAGTCAGAAACAATCACAAGATGCTCTCAATTATGTGTCTTATGTTAAAATGTGAAAAATGCATTCTAGATTCACTAAAATATGGTAGTTTTACTATAATCTTATCATTGGGTATCATTAGTTAATGTTTTTTCCTACTTCAATGTGGTATAAAATACTATGTCAACTTCTAATTTGAATTTTTATTATTAATGAAGCTGAACATTTTTTTAGTACCTGTAGTATTATTTTAGCAACTGTAAGATCCTTTTAGTGTTTAATTGAGATTAAAGGTGAGATTGTTGTTTCTCAGTTTATTCAGGTTTGCCAAAAGAGACTACTAAACATAGATATATTATAGAAATTACCTGATTTTTTTAAAAATGTAGTTTCAGAAGTACTGCTCTGTTGAGCTGGCACTTATTTATGACAGGTCTTAAGCTGTCATTCTTGAACTTGTACATTAAAATCACCAGGGAGCCTGTCTAAATGCAGATTCCTGGCCCTGACACAGAGATTGAGTAATTTTGTCTGGAGTGAGGTACAGGAATCTATTCATAACAAGCACCCCAGGTGATTGCTATGCTTGTGGACCATGCTGAGAAGCTATGGAAGGTTGAGGTATTTAGTGCTACAGATTTTCTGAGAACTTCTTTCATGATACTAGCTAAAAATTATGAATAGAATGCTTGATTAGAAGCTTTGGAAAAAAAAAGAAAAAAAAAGCTTTGGAAACTTGTGAATAGATGGCTTTCAGTGCTAGGAAGTGAAGAATTTGAATTTACTAAATGTGAATACATAGCATGTCTATGTTCTTTTTTTTTTTTTTTTTTTTTTTTTTTTTTTTATAGAATGCTTGATTAGAAGCTTTGGAAAAAAAAAGAAAAAAAAAGCTTTGGAAACTTGTGAATAGATGGCTTTCAGTGCTAGGAAGTGAAGAATTTGAATTTACTAAATGTGAATACATAGCATGTCTATGTTCTTTTTTTTTTTTTTTTTTGTCTTTTTTTTTTCGTGTCCAGCAACGGATCGCAACCCTCGGTGTTGCTCCTGCACCTGGCTCAGCCAGTGAGCGGGAACCGGTCTGTATGTGGGATCCGAACCCTCCGCGGGAGCGCCGCCACACTCCCAAGCGGCGCACTGTAGCAGTGCGCCACTGGGCTGGCCCAGCATGTCTATGTTCTTGAGCAGGAAAATTACATGATAAGTCAGAATGGTTTTTGCTGAATCTTACATGTAATTCTATCTCATAAGACGATGTGGAAAAAAGAAAAACAGAGATTTTTTTTGAGGTAAATCTTTTTTATTGATCTTCTTTTCAAGGCTTTCTTCATACCTCTGATGTCTAGAGTAAACAGAGATTAGGCTAAAACAAGGTTTGATTAATTAAGCCGAATATAAACTCATGGAGATTTTGTTCATTCTTGTATCCACAGTCTCTAAAACAGTGTTTGGCAAATGATAGGAATTCAGTAATAATTATTAGATACAGTATATGCATACTCAGGACAGTTTACATATTTTTTTTTTTTTTTTTTTTTTTTTTTTTTTTTTTTTTTTTTTTTTTTTTT